TCTCTCTTTACCCTCTCCGGGCAGCATCGCCACAGCCTCATCGCATCCTACCTTGCCCTCGGCAAATAGCTATGTAACCCTACCGTATTCGCTTTCTCGCTTTCTCTCTCTCTCTCTCTCTCTCTCTCTCTCTCTCTCTCTCTCTCACTCTAGTTTTATCTCTTTCATTCTATCTCAAACATTATAGCCGTATATTCCAACGTGATGAAGACTTACCTTCGAACCATGTAGTTTGCATCGTTTATTCGTTCCTTGTTATATAAGTCGAATCTACTTACTTTGATACTTTATTTCATTTTGTTGTTAAATAAAAAAAAAAAAAAAAGATGGAGTGGAAGAATAATCGAATAAAATGATTTCTATAACTTTTGGTCTTATATTATATATTTAATAGAAAGAAATATTAGAATTCATTGTGCGCTCAATATCATTTATTAAATTATTTCTTCCTTTTTCTCTTTTTAGTCAATATACGTAAATTGTATTTATTGTCTAGAAAAAAAAAAAGAAAAAAAAGATTTGTTTCAATAAGTTGTCCACTTTTCTTTTAGTATTCTACTTTGCAATAAACTTTATACACGTTTCGCGAAGCAGCTCTTTTTCTTTGATGGCGGTAAAAGCGCTCCCATCTAAGATTTATTTAACTCATATCTGCCATTTCGTGCAAACGCTTCCACCTATCCTACGTTCGTGGCATGGCCATTAAAGCGTCCACGTACGTGCGCCCTTTTTTCTCCAGCGACAATTTCCGAAAATTTTGCCATCTGCGTGGGGTCGATTCGGATATGACACAAGAAGGAAGAAAAAATGATATTGCCTGCTGGTGTACACACAGCGTGTGTTCCCCATCGTTTTCTGAGGGAAAAGAAAATATACCGCGAGAAATTTGATCCTCCATGACGTTAATTTTCTTAAAATGATTAACGACGATATTACGAAATATTTTCGGAAATCGCAAGCAACACCACCGACGTGCTCGTTGTTTTAAATAATCTAATGAGAATATTTTAATGAATAATTTTTAAATAATAAATAAATATGTAAATATCCGAGAGTGAATCTCATTAATCTTGCTATCAAAAAAAAAAAAGGAAAAAGAAATTATATAAAATTCTTTTCTCCTTTTTTTCCGCTTCGTTGCCTCATTTTGGAATAGAGCTACATTAACGTTGAAGTAAATTAAATTAAATATTACGAAAAATCTAAGTCGAACCTTAAGCCATCTTTTGTACTTTTCGAAGAAAAAGAAAAATACATTTTAAAAGTTCGAATTAATAAATAAAGTAGTAATATAAATTAAGTTAAATTAAGTATATTTAAATGTATGCATTAACAATTAATTATAAGAAAATAAAACAATAATATTTAGACTCGTAACGATCGTTGAAATATATAAAAAATCCTCTCTTTATTAAAAATATATACTTTGAATGACAACGTAATTCGAGAACAACGTTTGTTCGAATAAAAGATTCGAATGGGTTTATGAAGAATTGGAGATGGACTGTTCGTTCGCGTGAACGCGAACGATACCATGCGGAATGAGAATATCAAAGGTATTCAATTCAACAAAATTTTGTTTGCAGAGAGGACAATGGGAAATGCGAAGCTCTTTCTACGGTATTTGTAACTAGCGTTGCTTGCAGATCCGTCTGCGAAGCGTCTCGCTTCTCATTTCGAAATTGCATCTTCGAGGCATGTACATAGAGAAGAGGAGAGAGTGAGAGAGTGAGTGAGAGAGAGAGAGAGAAAAGGCGTGCCTCGACGACGATCGACGATCTTGTCGCCTCGGCAAAGTGAATATTTGCATATTAATGTGATTACGGTAGACATTCGCTGGAGGGACAGCTTGTGCACAGGCAAATGGGAAGTGGGAATGAGAGAAACGGAGGGTAGAAATGAAAGCGAAATACCATGAGTAACAAGGAGAGAGACAAAGCAACTTTAAAGATACCAAAGATGAGAGAAAGAGACCCGCTGAGAGAGGGTCGAGAGAAATGAATCACATCATTATGAATAATAATACGACCTGTCTATCGTACTATCTCTCTCTCTCTCTTTCTCCCACCCTTTTTTTCTCTCCTTCTGGTTGTCTGGTTATTAATAGTAATGACTTAGCAAGGGTTTTTGCTTAGGCGATGGTAAGGGTGGTTGTGTCGTGTAAAACACCCACTACTCTTTCGTTAACTCCTTCTCTTCTGTTTCACCGTCCAAACGTCCTACTTCTTCCCGTCCCTTATCCATCAACTATGCCTAACACAAACGTAAATAGTTCTTCGTTTCTCTCTCTCTCTCTCTCTTTCTCTCTCTCTATCTCTATATCTATCTCTTTTTCCTGTCATTGTAACCCTCACTAGCATATACGGAATCCTCTCGTGTAACGCCGCAGGAAAAGCATGTAAAATATTTCACAAGAGCCTGGTTCCTACAGCTGCTCGAGCTCGTCCAGTATAAGCATCTCTCTCTGCCTCTCCCTCACTCTCACTCTCTCTCTCTCTCTCTCTCTATTTATCTATCTATCTCTCTTTCTCTCTGATTGCTATGCAACTGTACGTCGAGTACATCGTGAGACCAATGGAGCAATGTAAACACCCTCGCGGCTCATTGTCACAAGCTTTCGAGTACAATCGTCATGTTACTCCAACTTCAATTTAAATAAAGAGAGTTGAGAAAAGTAATTATTTTTACATATTATTTAATACATTAAAATGTTCGTATGATTGATTTCAAACTTTATTGTCTTACATTTTAAATTTATATCACAAATTATTATTAAACTGTTATCAATTATTTATTATAATCTTTATGAAGATTTAAGATTACGTCATGATACGATATGAGGCTTAGACGAAGCAGTTACGAACGCAATGGTTTTCCGGTGTTCGATTATCAAAAGACTGGAAGAGGATCCACGCGGACCATGATGAACCCGGATCTGGTTACTCTGATATTAAATCCCCCTTTAAAACTACACACTCCGGTAGGGGTTTATATCTACCGAGTCGAGTCTTCGTCCATCCAAGCAAGAATAACCGTGGCAGAACAAAAGGACTGGCCTCGAAATAACTCTATTATTTTTCCGAAAGAGAATAAGCGTAGAATCTCAACGTTGACTTTTCCCATAAAATATTTCTAGTCAAAGCGAGGTCATAAATTCGCGATGATAACTATGATCGTACTTTGACTATTCTTTCGTTTTTTTTTTTTCTTTAGTCGATTATACCAAAAAGACAAAGAGAGAAGGAAAGACCTAAATCGTCGAGTTTAGTATCATATACGGTATACGCGGGCAACTAGCGGTTTGCGGATTGCATGCTGGCCCTTTGTCATCGAAAGATAAATAAGGAAATAATATTGACGGTAGAACTAAGTATACCCCAAGGGTTTTACTATAGTTATACTGTCACGCTTAATAATGAAAAATGGGAATACCGAGGAGAAATAAATTAGAAATGACATAGCCTAGCGACGGTCGTCTTCTATTCGAATTAAGGTGAGATAGCTCATTAACGAGTTATGCACGCGAACGAATTTAAAACCAGGAAGAAAAAAAGGATAAGGTTGCGTGGTTATATTTATTTTGTGTAGTCGTTGAAAAAAAGTACACGCACGTAACGGCAGACACGTGGCTATGGGATCGTTCATTTCTACGGTCCTATGCCATGTCGCACTAGGATTCAAAAGGGAATAAAAAAGATAGAGACAGAAGGAAAAAGAAACGAATGCATTTATTCCACCCCCTAAAAATAATGATAGCGTGAGCCGACACCGCGGTGAAATTCCGAAACCCCGAATACAAAGTACTCGAGAGCTTGGGAGTCGTAGAAAAAGTTGAAAAGTAGTCTGGTTGAAAGAATGGAAGGTAAGAGAGTGCCGAAGTCAGATGCAAGCAAGAGTCGAAAGGAAAGGACAGGCACGCTCGCCGCATTACTTTGTACAAATAACGCTCGCCGCTGTAATTTGCGAAATTCCCGTTATTTTACATTTTAAACTAGAAAATAAAACGGCCTAGCTGGCGGCCGCTTATCCGTCCAACGCGATCTCGATCGTATCACCCTCAGTCACGCTTACCCTGCTACAAGCCGAGCACGACTGCTCTGAAAATTACTGTACTACCCTACGTGGCGTGAGTATTATTTTTTCCCGTTTGCTACCTTTCCACATTCCCCCTCCCTCCCACGACCCCCTACTTACCCACTACCACCTACTTTTCTTCGATCTTTTCTGCGTCCTTTAGTTTTTCATTTGTATCTCTTCTTTGCACGTATATACTATATTTAACATTTCAAATTTGAGAGAAAGAGAAGATTCAAGTCGGGTGTTCGCTCTGGCGGAGCCCGCCGAAAAGTTCGAATATTTTTATCGGTAAGGGATGATTTTCCACCTTACCAACATAGGGGTGACTAGCATTTCACTTTTTGGAAGATAAAACCGAACGCTGTCGCCATCCTACGGACGATGGCCGAACTACGGTTGGTTTTCCAACGTTAGAGGGGTTGTAGGGGTGGTTCGACGTTTGCTCGGAGAGGGATGTCTTTGGTCAAGTGGGGGAACTCTGTACAAGTCCATGTTACCCTCCTCGAAACTTCGTTCTCATTCGTTATTTTTTTAATACGACCAAAATTCTTGCCTATTGTTAAGATATCATTTTTTTTTTAGATAAATATTTTCAAAGACGATCATTTCATAACTATAAAATTAATTAAGTTTATAAAAAAATTGCACACATAGAAATTCAACGAAGTAAGAGAAATCGTATCCTTTGTAAATATCGATGCACTGTTCGTAAATGTTTAGTAGATTCTTTGTAACATTTTACATGAAAAACAATTGTTCGAATTTAGTGATCTCATTTTAGAGGGTTACTTTTTTGTTGTTGTTCTTAATCCATATTTTTAGGAAATCATGAAATTTTGCCTCGTGCAAAATGAGCTGTCCGTGGCGTATCCCCACCAGAAAGAGGAAGAAATAGTAGTGGGGTTGAATCGATACAGCCACGATACAACAGTTGATGTCTCGAAACTCGAAATAGGAATGCGCACGCACCCCCTCCTGTCACGGGGGCTATCGAGCCTCGAAACAATGTAACAGGAGCGGATCGTTTGTCGCGAACAGGTGACTCTCCCGTCACGATACAGACGGCATACATACGTTTAGTTTTTAAACGCTAAGAAACAAAGCCTCCCCCGTCAATAAACAAAACGTAAGTACCCTTCATACTGATCATGGAAAACAAAAGAATTTCATGTGTCATTTCGAGGAATAGATACGAGTCGCGTATGAGAGTCAAACGTTGGTGTTATTTTTCTTTTGTCAATAAAAGTTCTTTAATAATATATCGCGTTGAAATTCAATACTCATTTTTTCTTATCAGACGTTACTTGATATAGTGATTTTAAAAGTGATTGCACCTTCATTTCGTATACATATGTAGTAGACGGATTGTAAGTTTATCACTGTCCTGTCATAAACATTGTCGAATTTTACAAATTACTTGCCATTTTTATATTTTTCTCTCTTTCTCTCTTTCTCTCTTTACCGTCAATTTTTTCCGTACATTTTCTAATAATAAAGCAAGCAATTTTCTCTTTTAACTATGTAATTCTTAAAAAAAAGAAATAATATAATCGTATGGAGAATTTATGTTAATGTGTAATTAGTAATTCTCAAATACGATCGAACGATTCAAGTGTAAGAATAAACAGTCAATATAGTTCATTGGGTATACATCGGACGCTCATCAGTCTGAAATGTCATCCGCCATCTCGAGTAAAGACAAATATGTGCTACGATGATAAGAGAGAGAGAGAGAGAGAGAGAGAGAGAGAGGGAGGCTTATAAATAAAGGCAATGACGATAGCGAGGATGCATACAATCTAATTGGTAAATATCGGCCTACCTAACAAAGCTGTATTTCTTTTTACAATCACGTAGAACAATTAACAATTCTAATGTCATCCTTAACGGTCAACGACAAATGTTTGACTAATGTTTAACTAATGATTCATTTCATTCTAGCAGTCCATTTGTACTTTTCTTTCGGAAAGGTGTAAGAGAATACATTAGAAGCTAAATTCGTTATATATATTTCAATTGTAACGATTCATTCAACATGATTCGATCTGAATAAACATAAAAAATAAATATAATAAGAAAATCTTGAAAAAAACGTTATATATACGCATTACTTAACAAAATTGTTATTCGAATAATAAAACAAAAATCAGAATAAAAGTTTAACAAGATAATCTTCTCGTGATCGCGTTCGCACGAGTAGTTTATTCAAAAATGTTTCTGTATTAACGGAATAGAACGATAGGCAATAGGAAGAGGAAGTAAAATGGGCAGAAAGCCTCGTGAGAGCGATAATCGTAAAATGTGCGAGAGAGAGAGAGAGAGAGAGAGAGAGAGAGTGTGTGTATGTGTGCGTGCGTATGTGTATATAGGGGTAGTATGCGTGAGAGTAGTATTCATGGTGGGTGGTTAAAGTGTCAGGGCGAAAGCAACGATACAAGTTCGAGATGCATGGTACTCGAGAGCGATCGAGATCTAAGGGAAAACCTGAAAGTTCGCGTGCGAGCGACTAATAAAGCGGTTGTCCGGTAGAAAAAAAAAAAAAAAGAGACCGAGCAAAAATATATTTATTGAAATTGAAATATTATCGTGTGTGTCCAAAAAGATAAGATGGAAGGAAAATAAGGGTAACGATGTAATCAAATAATGAATATTTTAAAATATATATATATATTAGGATGAACCAAAAGTTCGTGCGTTGATTGTGTTGTTTCAGATAGTGCAATTTTTTCAAGTCAATAAAATTACTTTATATATGCAAGTGAAATAATATTAATTAAAAAAAACGCACGAACTTTTGATTCACCTCACAATAATATATTTAATAAAAACTAAAAATATAGTGTGTTATGTTATTAATTATTAAAACCAATAAAACAAAAAATAAAGTAGATAATAAGAGAGGGAAGATTTATAGATCAATCATTAACGAAGGAAGTAAAAAATCGATCGGGGTTTTCCATGTGGTCTTGAATCGTAACGCGAATCCTCGAGTTTCGCGATATTCGACGTGTATACCTAGAGGGACAACCACCCTTGCTACCCCTGTCGCTCACACCAACGCAAAACGAACGTGGGCGAAGGTTCGCGAGCGCGCGCGCGCGCGCGCGTATTCGTATTCGAGCTTCTATAACGTACGGGGGTGGACGGGAGTATGAGGGAGTGAGAGACAGATTAATGTGACCCCGTCACCGTTCGAACAAAGCTTCGCACAATGGCCGCACACACCAGGGACAGTGGACGATCGCAACGAGAGACGCTTGCAACGATCTACGCTTACGGATGGCTGGGATGGTAGTTTTGCTATGCGAACGAGCCCTCTGGATATATTACCCGCCACTCGTGGCTATCACCAATGAGATTCAATGCGTGATCATGCCCGTCCGCCAGCGTTCCCTCGTTTTCTTCTCTCTCTCTCTTTCATGTTAGCCCCGATACAAGCAGATATTCTACCAGATAATCATTCTTTTTCCTGTTTTTTGTTTTTCTCCTATTTATACTTTATCTTTTCATCCTATCGCGTTACACTGTTGCCTCAACCCTTCTCACAACGCTTTAAAATTCAACCAGATGATCAGAACAATAAGAGAGAAACAAAAGAATAGTCTAAACAAGTTACTTTCGTGTTATTCCTCTTATTAAATTATTTTTCATAATAATCTGTTCGATTTTTATCTATTTATTGTACATTTCTCAATTAGGTTTCTTTTTCTTTATTTTATCGAATGTTCATTTAAATTCTGTTTGACTAATCTTCGGGATTGACTACTTGCCGCGTTCTCCAAACCGTCCTCTTCAATTATACCCTCGTATTTTCGTTCATATTTCCTCGATCACATTCATCCCTTTTACGTGAAACGGGGGGGGGGCGATGATAGTTGTGACCACACCCCCCGGGCGTGGGTTTTCCTGCGCGCGCAGAAAATTCTTACTTCTTATCGGAGGGACTTCCTATCCTTCCTTGCTCACATTCTGCGAGACGATAGCTAGAAGGTTAGGTGATACACAAACCGATTTGAGAAAAGGATCGGATTTGAATTTTTCCTACACTTTATCTTGTATCTTTCTTTTTTTTTTCGATCAATCTCGAGAAAGAGTATCAAGGGACGACGAGTTTCCATGCAATAAACATATTCCAACCTGGTAGATGGGAAAATCATAAAATAAACAATGGCAATCGAGTTGCGATTGGAAGGATTGTGTTACATAGTTTGAACAAAAATTAGATCCATTTCATGGATTCAATGAATCGTAACGATACTCGATGAAAACGATTTCAGTATAGAAGAATATTTCTTTTCCGATTAAATGAATTTATTTTATCCGATAACAAAATGTTTAATATCAAAGAATTATGGCAGAAATTATGTTTCTTTTTTTTTTCTTAAAATTTCAAAAAGAAATAAGTACGATCAAGGAGATGACGCGGTGGCACGATCGGCCGGCTAAAAATGTTAGTTTCAGGTTCTTGGTATTTTTACTATGGTCTCCATTAAATCACTGGAAAATCTGTTCCAGTGCCTAGCGGCATGGTCGCCACGCCAGTGGAGAATAAAGAGGGGCTTATTATAAGCGACGTTAATTCTCGAATAAATAACCGCGGGCTTGCGCGAAGATCGAGAAGAGAAAGAGGGTTGTTTTAAGAGTAAGAAGGAGAGAGAGAGAGAGAAAGAAGGTGAGTAAAGATTGAACTTGGAAAGAACGATGAAAGAGAAGGAAGAAAGGAAGGAAGGAAGGAAGAGAGGGAAGAAACGAAAAAGGGATGAGAATGTAGGTGGTTGATTTATTTCGGCGCCGCAAAGATCTGGATTCGCGTACGTGTCCCGTGCTTCAAATTACCAACTTATAAACTCTCTTCTTCTCTCTTTCTTTCTTCAGGAAACCCTCCCATAGATCATTCCGTTGTACGAGGAGAAAAGCAATATGTGCCCAACTGTCGACACCTCTTCGAATCGAGAGAAATGTCATCGAAATATCTCTTTACAAATTTACAACCATCTCGTACCTTCGCGGTCGATAAATCCTGCTGATCATCGCGAGTCCGTCTTTGTGAGTATTCCTCTGCCGGTCATCTTACCTGAAACAATAAAGTACAATCTTCGATAATAAAGAAAACGTTCGTACGTATTATAAGTTTGTACTTTAATAAATTGTTATTAAATAACTGTGATAAAATTGTTAGCAATAATTTGATTTACATATTTATGCATATTTATTTTAATTGCTTGAAATTCGATTTTACATCAGATCTTATTAGATAGAAGAAAATGGGACAAAGACAAACGAGAAGAAGAAGACCGAACGGTAAGTCGAGGTCCGGGAAAGTCTAAACTTTTTACAGCGGTGTTAGCGCATTTAATTTATCTGGCGATAATGGAGACGAGGAAGAAGCGGTGTTGCGTTGAGGAGAAGAAGAAACGAAGAAAGAAGGGAAGAAGGAAGGGTGAAAACCTCGAGCCACGAGAAGAACAGAGAATCCTTATTAAAATTCATTAATTTCGCCCATCTATGAAAGTTTCATTTTCATGCAAATCTGAGGAATAATCCGGCTGAAAAAAACCAATTTGAATGACTTCGGAAGAGTCGTGCCGGTCGCTAGGGAAACTTGCTTGTTGTGCGAGAGAATGAACGTGCGTACGCACAAGTTTGCCTCTGTAAATGTGTATGATAAAGAAAGATAGAATAAACGGTACGTCAAACGTGGCAGGATAAAGCGACATCGTATTCTTACTAAACGGTATTATGCAAATGACGATCCCAACTCATGAAATTTTGGATAGCACGAAAATAAAACTAATGTGATGGAGAAGAAAAGCTATTTCCTGTAGAGTTTCGTAAAAACGATGGAGAATAAGAGAAAGAGAAATAAAGAGAGAGAGAGAGAGAGAGAGCGAGAGAAAGAAAGAATGATTGTGAAAAAAGGGTGAGGGGTTGCTCGCAGTGAGTAGAACGAGCGAACAAATCGTCACGACAGGAATCTGGGCCGACGTGCAATGAGTGATCGCGCGTTTCCAGTGGTAACCTCGAGAGAAGCGAAATTTTCCGACCGACAGCCACGTCAAAACGATTTGTCGTCGGCCTTCTAAAGAGAAATGCGAGTCACTCTCCCTTCTCTCTTCTTGTGAGCGGACGACAACCATTTCCTCGAGTCTCAAGGAATCACCCCATGCTTCTGTTTGCTCCTATCTTTGCTTTTGCACACGTGCATTCATGAAGGACATACGCAAACTCGAAGGAGTACAACCTTCTGTCGATTCTCTCTTTTTTTTTTTTTTATTTCTTCTTCTTCTTCTTCTTCGTCTTATTTTCTTTTCTCTTCTCTTCTCTTTCTTTTACCATTTTCTCAGACCGTTCTTATCTGTTTGCTATTTATTTAGGAGGATCGGACGAATGGCACTCGACTGATACCAAGCGGACAAACCCAAGCGATGCTGGAATCACCTCTTAAGAATACACATGCCCCAGGTGACGGCTTATCGCGTTTATGCAACATTACCCTTTCCCACCGTTATTTACACCACTTTCCATATTTTTTCGTTACGTTTAGTATCTAACCGTGCTTTTCTTTTAACGCTCTCTAAAATGCAGTTTGAGAAATAAAAATTATTATCTGTCACTTATATTCAATCTTTCTAAACATATTCTTTTTTTTTTTTGGTTTTACTTTTAAGTCCGACGAAATATTTATATAAGATTTGTTTTTATTCTATATAAAGATTTTACAAACCATAGATTGTTTTATTTGCGTAATATGGTTTCGTCGATATTTATAAGGGTTTTATCCTAAAGAATCTAAAAGATGTTGACGATTTCGTTGAATTCAGTTCGCGTGACAAGAAAACCTAAATGGCGTTGTCGTAAGTCGCGACGCGTTAACGATTGCGATTAATCGTTTCGACGTGTTATCAATTGACAAACGAAAAGTTTCAATCGATACGATTAACCACGATCTCGAGCGTTATTTTGATTTCGACGCTCTCCCACCCACGTAAATCGTATTTTCCGTGATTATCAAATTTGCCCATCGACTCATGCGCGTTCATGAAAGTGCATTTATTTTCAAAGAAATCGATGAATTCGCTTTATTTTCGCTCAGCCGATTTAAATATCGGATTGATTTCGCTCATATGCACGCGACCGTCCCGTCCACATATCCCGACTATTGTTTTGCATAAATTTTTTTTCACACTACGGTAAACATATCTATTTTTTTTCTAAGGTAAAGAAATTCTTCTTTATAAATAACGTACAAACAGAAATGTTCGATTAAACAAACAAATTAATCGGATAATTGGACAACAAATATGGATGAATAAATATTTATATTAGAATTATTATAATATGAAAAAAAATGAGGATAATTTAAAAATAATTATCTTTGTAAATAACGAATAGTACGAATAACATTTTATAATGTCTCTGAGTTAAAATCTTTTTTATTTACTCTTTTATAAAATGTAATTTGCTTAAAGCGTATTTCGTGCTGCAGTCGATTCGAACGATCCCGGTCGAGCGACCGTTGTCGAATTTTATGCTTGAACGATTATGTTAATATGGATAACGAAGATAACACGACCGCATGCATGATCTATCTCTCTCTCTCTCTCTCTCTCTTTCACTTGTTCCATGTACTCTGTTCTCCCTTTCATACATACCTATGCAATTCCAGTATATTTTACGAACACTTCCTACTTTTTTGTATTTTTCTCCAGCCCTTCGATGAAGCAAGCGCTCTTTTGCCTCGGCAGCATCGTTCCAGGGCGCATACGCGAATACACATAAAAATATGCGGACTTGCGAGGCTGCACGAGTTCGCTGCATAATCATGCAGTCGATGAACGCGAGGGAGTTAACCATGCGAGAAAGGATAGGGCAGGGAAAAAGAAATTTACGGGGATCCGCATCGAGTACGATACTATTTTCTGTCTCGTCGTATATCATTCTGTGTTTCCCATCTCTACGTAACCTTCCAATTTAATGCATTCTTTGTTAATATTCAGTATGTTATACATTTTCTGGCATAGGTGTTGTCCAAAATTATTATTATTATTATTATTGTTGTTATTGTTTTTTAATTTTTGTTTTTTTTTAATCGATACCAACACGAAATATTATAGTAATAATATAATGTTAATTTTAATGAAGACTTTTTTCTTACTAGGGATATAATTGTTGCAATCTGATTGATTCGTAGAATATGAAATAAATCGACAAATATCAGAGCGATTTGGAAGCATTCGACAAATCGACAGAGAAAGATACTCGATAAGGGAGATACACGAAGTTTCCATTCGTCTTACCTTAGCGAATCGGAGGTCTGCCCGCTGTCAAGATAAAGGATGTTTAGGACAGTTGGCTGAGTTCGACGATCGATGAACCTCTTCTTCCTGTCAAAACACCACATACAACGGTTACCGTTCCTTTTAAGAGATATGGACAACTCTCAAGGGAAGAAATTGTTGGACGATGAATCAAGAGTTGAAAAGGTGTCGAACGACGGCTGTCGGCCATTATTGTTAGTTCTTCTTCGACTATACTACGTCTATATATTTTATTATTGCGCATGGTTGAAGAAAATACATTTAGTAATTGTTTTCCTGTTATTCGTTTGTTAGAAGTTTTAAAAAGAAAACTAAAAGAAAAATAGGGAAGAAAGATAGGGCGTCCCTTTGGCTCGATTTTACGCAAGAAAGACGAATGAAACGTAGGTCTGGTTTCTCTAGGATAAAAGAAGCCGATATGGTCGATATACGAGCGTAACTCTTATCGCGAAGAAGCCGGCGCGTGGAAGAAGAAACATCCCTCGTAAATATAAAAGGTATAAAAGCTACCCTTTTGATGGAGTGCCCTCTTAAGGGTCAAACTGGTATCGGCCAGTACGTTCACCGCAGGATGACCAAGAAGAGGATCGAGAAGAGAGGTCAACGGGTATGCGAAGGGTAGGTCCTTGAATCGTGCTTAACCACCCTTACTTTACGGTCTTCGTATTTTGTTTAAAATTTATCCCATAAAACACAGACACATTGATGCCATTCGACTAAACGCGTAACTCTCGAACGTTAAATTAACTTTATTTTCGATACTATATAATCGATTTCCAATCAGGCATAATCTATTATTCCATAATATAATTTTATTCCGAATCATTTAAAAAAAGAAAGAAAAAAAACACCGTAGAATTTGATTATAAAATATTCTTTAGAAACTTCGACGTTTATCTAAATAGTAACGATCGATAAAGTTTTTTTGATTATAGATGAAACAAGCTCGTAGAATTGCGTATAATAAAATATATTTTGCAATTCGATATGTTTTCTTAGAAAGTTAACAAACGACATCGAACATGAATAAGAAATAGCAATTGGAAATTCGACGATGGTAGAGCCGATATCGTTTTCATTTTCACCCCCTGGCAATATAGAAAGCTATTTGTCTCCGTAGCTGAAGCAAACTGGTACGATGCGATGATAGAAAGCATCATCGAAATTCAGAAGAAAGCGTCACAAGATATTCCCATTTCCTACGCGCCATCTCGGTCATATGGTATCGCGTGTCGGCCTGTTTGCTTAAGGATATCAGCGAGAGACGCAGCGGTAGCTCTTGCTTGCCAGCTAGGGGTGAATAACTTATGTTTACCCGCATGAATTCTCATATTCAGCGTAGCTTAAAGCTGCAACTTTTCACGGCGTTAAGCGATAACAAGCTTGAATAGACCTGTCATTTAAACGAGTCTCTTAAAAAATCACTTTTCAACAATCCATATTCTGTTTCCCTCTCTTTCACACATGCGGATATTTATCTAACTATTTTTAAACGAATAGAGATAATATATAGATATCTATCAATATTTGAAGTGCAATCTCTCATGGACGTTCGTTTAGATTAAAAATAAATTCAAATTAATCGAAGAATTGTGAAACGTCTTTTAAAACACTTTCGTTTTGTCAATCATATACGAATCGTTAATAAACCTAAACGATTGACTCAAGTTTTAAAATTGTAGAATATTCTATTGCGGGAAGTATTTCATATATGCTAAATTTTTTATATTAAAAAATTAACGTTTGTAATAATTAAACTGAAAATCGCGTTAATAAATGAACAAAATAAATAATCCAATTGAATAATAAATGATACGACAATGCGTGTAGAATTTCATTAATTTTCTTTACATTTTATTTCGTAGAGTTAATCGATGTATTAAATGAGCGAGCGGCCTGTATAACAAAGAACTACGATGGTTTTTTTAAAAAATGTGTGCTGTGAAAGGATATTAAATAAAAGTGATTTTAATAAACCGTGCAGTCGAAGTATTCACGAACGAGCGAATAATAGAGAGTGCGTATAAGCCGAAGATATAAAAGGCTAGCTAGCACATAACTAATGTATATGACAGAGATAGTAGCACAGTCAACTCGAGTCTCGCCATATTCGTTGCACTTCTACTAGCTAGTCGATCTTCAAGACCGTAGATGATGTATTTTGTTAATGTACCGTATGCGTCATAGAAACGATACGCGGATGTATATCAAGGGAGACATACCACTGAGAAGTTATATTTTTGGAAAGTAACCATCCAGCCACAGCTAGCGTGTCGGCCATAAAGCCGTTTTATTTCTTCGGGGGCGGTTTTAAAATTCCACTACTGAAATGGCGCGTGTGTGAGTGTCGGTTGAGAAGGAGGAGGAGGAGGAGGAGGAGGAGATGAAGGAAGTGGAAAAGAGAAAGGGACAAAATAAAAAGAATCGAAAGAGAGAGAGAGAGATGCGTTTCTGTTGGAAAAAGTGAAACAAAAAGAGAGAGTCAGATATAGAGACGTAAGCTCAGCGAGTGAGTCGAGTAACAGGGAAAAAAGGGCATGCGGAGAGTAAAACGAAAAATGTATATGTATATGTGAGTTTGCTTGTGTAGTACACGCTCGCACGTACATTCCATCCCTTTTTAGTCTTGAATTCGGTGGGGCTTCGCTCATACATATGGGACCAATTTACAAAAATTATTCAGAAACCAAGGACATTCAGGGTGCGCCTACGCGCCATTTTTTGTAACACAGTTGGAACACATACATCGTCTATAGGATTTGAGAGATTTTTACTGAATTCGAGGGAGTGTAGACGAAAAAGAAAAAGACATCATGAGCAATAAAAATGAAAGAAAAAACAAAACATAACACTAAGGAGACAATGGTATAATCGTGTTTTCTCGATCGAATTTTTCACATTTGCACGCATGTAACGTGAGTCGCGATTTTTATTATTACATTGTGATTATCGCGACGAGATCGAGATAAAGGGAAAAGATTTAGAGAAAAAATTGAGAGGATGTTTTTGAGAAGACACTGTGTATCACATATAAGAAAAAAAAAAATCTTTTCGCGTCTATTGCTATACGCGTTTCATAGTCGGGAAAACATAAAGAGATGAGAAGAAGGAAGAAAAATAGCACGAGGAGTGTGAGTGAAAGAGAAAGAAGAAAAAAGGAAAGGTAGATAGAAAGAAAGAAAGAAAGAAAGAAAAGTGAGAGAGTAAGAGAGAGAGAGAGAGAGAGAGAGAGAGTGAAAAAGGGGCTTATGAGAATGCCTCGCTACACTAAATAAATAAAGCAAAACGTACAGAAGGGCGTGTACCTGAGACTAAAAAAGTAAACCAAAGAATTGTCGGGCTTCCAGGTGGCCGAAAGAGAAGACAATAGTGGGTGGAGGAAGGAGAGAAAAGTATCCGAGAAGAAGAACATGAGAGAAAGAGAAAGAAGAAACAAAAGCCCGCGGGTGACCCGCCCGACTTTGCGAAATAAAAACTCACTTTACGGGGAACTTTTATTGCGAGCTCAACGTTTCTTTTGTATCCCTTTGCCCCTGTACGCTACAGCGCTTTCAATCGGTTCAACGAATACATAGTTTACCAATGGTCGCGTTGAGAATACCGCCTTTCTTTCTTCCCTAACAACCTCTATCTTTTGCCTTCTACCATTTTCTCGTTTCATTTTCTTATCTCGTAGTTCCTCTTAATTCCTCTCCTTCTTCTTTTGATTCAAACGAGACCTCTTCTAAGAAAAAAGGAGCTAAGTAAAGAAAGAAAAGGAAAAAATTGAAAAAAGAGGGAAGAAGAAAAAGAAAGAAGAAGAAGAAGAAAAAGAAAGAGAAAAAGATAGCAAAACGTAGTAGGAAACCCTCACCATTTTTTTCCTTCCGGCTTGGCCTTGGTCTTTGAAGTTTTCTCTTATTTTTCATTTAGGTATTACGGAAGAGTCATTTAAACAACAAAAACGATCTTCCAACTGGCCGATTCTTGTCGCCTATTGTTGCATTTATTTCGGTTGGAAGTGAATTATGTTGCGAATAAGGTGAAAAAGTTTAAATGGGATTTAACTAATGAGGATACGAATTTAACTAATGACCACTACTAAAGTCGTCACTCGAGATAGTTTTGTATGTTTTTTTTTCTTGTTTCTTTCTTTCTTTCTTTCTTTCTTTCTTTCTTTATGGTAAAGCGTATCTTTTAGAGAGAAAAAAAAAACGTTATGCGATCACAGACGAAAATTTAATTTAATATTCGTTTAGAAATGGAAATACGTGGAAAAAAAAAAAGATACGAACTTGGGCATTGAAAAAGTTTCCTTTTTAATTTTTCGCATAATATTCGGGAATTGTTATAGTCTCCTTTATTTTTATACGTTCTCGAAAATACAACAGCACTCAACGAGAAAAGTTGAAAAGTTATGAAACATTTGTAACGATGTGCGCTCTTCGAAAATGCGATGATTAATTTTTCATGGTTAATTTACCGATTAATTTGCCAGGAGGAAAAGTGGTTCTTGCATCAAGTTGAGGAGGGGGTCTGTCAAGAGCACTGATTGAAATATAGGGTAGAAAGGCCTCAGGCTGCAAAATCGAGGGTGGAATACCGGTCGGATTTAAAGCGGCTGACAGCGTTTCTACGACGAAATATTTCCTTAGAGTTTGTAGAAAAAGCATTCTGTCGATTATTTTGACGCTTCTAGCGACAAATAAGAATACGAAAGTAACTTGAAACAAGAGAGAGTGATAGAGAGAGAAAAAGACTTGTCGAGAACAGTAGAAAAGTATAAACGATCGTTATTAATAACATTAATTTCTCATAATCATTGAAACGTATGAATCTTCTTTTTAAATCAAAAAATCATAGGAACGAGTTCTCTCGTTTGACCAAAAAAAAAAATATGTTTCAACCAGAACAGCGAATGAGTTAGCGAGATTCGCTTTGAATAATAGATAAATGCAAGCTTGAACGATGGATACGTCGGATACGGGTGCACGCCGAATTTCAGTGTGATTTCCTTGGCATTTTTCCGGGTGTAATAAACGAGTGACGTTTGCGGCGAAGTTCGCAATTAAACCGTACATACAAACTGCGCATACCATACGTAACCGATGTACCCTAGGCGCGGAATGCAGGTAAAGCCCGTTTGTTTTGGAAATTGCGTTAATTCGCCGAGCGCAGACTGGCTGATTTTGTGAGTGACGTGGCAATCACTGCGCAATCACCGAGAACGAACGAATCGTAGAAACGAACTGTCGCTTTCCTATACACGAAATGCGGGCGAGCGTGTATGCGATCCTGAAAACCGCGAACGAACAGTCATGAACCACGAATAAAAATTCATACGTGTTAAAAAACATTTTTTAATGACACGCTCGTATCCCGTAATTCGAATGTTTTAGATAAACATATTTTTTTTTACACGATTATAAATTAAAATATTATTTCTTCTGTTACGAGACGTGTATTCGTATAAATTGAAAATATCCTTATATCAAATTTATTGCATCAAAATCGTCATCGTCTTTTTATCGTCGAGGAATTTGGCAATTGCTTGAAAGATTAATCAAATTTATCGGAAATAATGGAAACAATTATTATTTTGAATAATAACAGATGTATGATTGCTTTATAAATAAATACTAAATCTGTTGATAAGGCATAGAATTAATTGCTACTCCTAATATATTAGGTAGCATCTATTTGTTTTTCCTATTATCTGTGAACCGAGATTATTCCGTTGCTTACAAGCGAAAATCTTTTAATTAGAAAAGGTAAAGGAAGCGAACACGAGTGCCTACGGCATATCGGAGCTGCAGTAAACGAGAAAATGTAAA